GGGTATTCAATTTTGTTCAATTGATCTATGGGTCTATTTTTGTGCCAGTACCATCTTGTTTTGATGACTACAGCTCTGTAATACAGCTTAAAATATGGTATAGTAATGCCCCTGGCACTGCTCTTAGTGCTCAGGGTTGCTTTGGCTACCCAAGGTCTTTTGTGCTTCCCTATGAATCTTAGGATGTTTTTTTCCAATTCCTGTGAAGAATGTCACGGGGATTTTGATTGGCATTGCAATGAATCTATAAATGGCTTTTGGTAGGATGGTCATTTTCACAATATTAATTTCACCAGTCCATTAATTCTTCCAATTGATGAGCATGGGCGGTCCTTCCATCTCCTGGTGTCTTCCTCAATCTCTTTCTTCAAAGATTTAAAATTTTTATTGTAGTGCTCTTTATTGAGTCAGGTTTATTCTGAGATTTTTTTTTTTTTTTTTGCAGCTATTATGAAGGGGAGTGTTTCCATGTGCTCCTTCTCTGATTGCTTGTTATTGGTGTATAGAAAAGCTACAGAATTTTGTAGGTTAATTTTGTTACCTGCCACTTTATTGAACGTGTTAGTTTCTAGTTTTCTGGTGGAGTTTTTGGAGTCTTAGATATAATCGTCTTCAAAAAGGGATAATTTGATCTCTTCTTTTCCAAATATTACTCCTTTAATTTCCTGCTCCTGTCTTATTGCTCTTGCAAGAGTTTCAAGCACTGTGTTAAAGAGAAGTGGAGATAGTGGACAGTCTTGTCTGGTTCCTGATTTCAATGGGAACGCTTCCAGTTTTTCTCCATTTAGAATGATGTTGGCTGTGGGTTTGTTTCAAAGGCCTTCTCTGCATCTATTGAGATGACCATGTGGTTCTTGTCTTTGAGCCCATATATATGATTTATGACACTTATTGACTTATGTATCACAAACCATCCCTGCATCTCTGGGATAAAGCCGACTTGATCATAGTGGATGATAAGTTGACTTTTTCCAGAAGAAAAGTTATTGATGAAAGATGAGTATTGACTCCTGTCATTTTTGTTTCGATTTACATTTGTGATATAGCTGTACTTTTCCACAGTTATACCTTCATTGAATTTCTTTCCCCAACCCCTTGGGTTTAGTCATTCTTTTCTTCAGCTCTTTGTATTGCTTCCAGAACTCACTGAAGGGCTGGTTTTGTGGACATGAATTCCTTCAGCCTATTTATGTCATGGAAGATTTTTCTTTCCCATTTAGCTATAATAGACATTTTGGCTGGATGTAGTAATCTGGGTTGGCATCTGTGGTCGTTTAAAACTGGGAATGCTTTGGTCCAGGCTCTTCTGGCTTTCATTGTTTTCACTGAAAAGTCAGCTGTAATCCTAATGGGTTTTCCTTTATATGTGACTTCTCTTTTGCAGCTTTCAGTATTGTCTCGTTTTCTACGTTTAGTGTTGTGCCCTGGAGAGTTTCTTTTCTGGTCCTGTTTGGTGTTCTATACGCTTCTTGTATTTGTATGGGCATGTCTTTAATTTTGGGAAATTTTCTTCCACGATTCTGGTGAAGATCTGGTCCATACCATTATCTTGGGATTCTTCTCCTTCCTGTATGCCTATGATTCGCAAGTTTGGTCTTTTTATGGTGTCACACAATTCCTGCATATTCCATTCTTGTGATTTCTTAAATTTTTCATAATCTTTGCTTGAGTGATCTAGTTTGTCCACTTTATCTTCCAGTCTTGATACCGTTTTCCATTTCATTCATCCTATTGGTGAGGCTTTCTCCTGTCGTTTCTACTTGGCTTACTGTTTCACTTCCTTCTTCATTCAGCCTGAGTATTCTTCAAAATTTCTCTTTTCTGAATTCATTCAGAAGTTTATCCCTATCTTCCTTCAGTTCTTTGATTTGTGTGTTCTTTAAATCCACTGAATTCTTTTATCACGTTTATAATTGTTCTTTTGAGTTCCATGTCGTGCATTATCTCTAGGGGGTTCTCATTGTACTGCTCTAGAGGACTATTGGTATTTGGTGGGGATGTTATTTTGTTTTTTCATGTTGTTATTTTTTCTGATTTTGACATGTGAAGTTCTTTTGTAGTTTCCGATTCTTGTGTGAGACTCAAGCCTTCAAGTTTAGGTCTGCTTTTTGTGTCTGTGGTTTCCTTTTTGGGCATGAAAAGCTGGTTCCTCTAAGCTTCCGGTTCTCCTTTAATTTTATATTGGAGTGGCCAGATTGGATTTGTCTTCAGGAGTTCCCACAGAGGCCCAAGTCAGATGGAGGATCAGGTGCACTCATGCTTTCTCCTAAGGTGTGGATCCCTCCAGGAAAGATTTTGACCTCAGAATTTGGGGGTTGGACTGGCCTGGGCCGGACCAGGAAAGATGCTGGTCTAGGGCAGATGGTGGCCGTGCCACCCAGAGATGCAAAGGAAGATGGGGGCGGGAAACAGCCCCTAGGGCTCCTGGGGACTGCACTGAGGAACTGGGTTGGTCTGGATGTAAAGGATGAGGGAGAGGAAAGGTCAGCCACGGTCCAGGAAAGAGGCTGGAGGGTCGTGCAGGCCCAGGGAAGTAGAGGGAAGTGAGGGCAGGGCCAGGCCCAGAGTGCTCCTGGGGACCCGAGAAGTAACTGAGTTGGTCTGGATGCAAAGGATCAGGAAGCAGTGGTGGTTCCCCAGGTGTCTCGGGCACCAAAACAAGGAATGGGACATGACCCAAGCTAGGAGGAGAGACCGGCAGGGGAGATGGGCGGGTGAATAAGGCTGGGGAAGTCAAGGCACTGAGGGCATGATCGACTTACCCCAGAGAGAGAGGCCTGTGGGTCAGGTGCAGGCCCAGGGAAGCAGAGCTTAACATTAAAAAAAAAAACAAAAAACATGTAGCCCAGTGTGGCTTTAATTTACAGTCCCAGTGATTCAGCCTCCTAAATATTGAGATTATAGGTGTGTTCAACAATGTCTGGCTAGCATGTAACTTTTTTGAAGTTCTTTGGGTTTATTCAAGCCTGTCACTCCAGCTCCAGGAAACTATCCTCACCACTGCCCATCATGTGAACCATCCCAATCCCACTGGCAAGATTTTCTGTTTGATGCAGAGGGCTCAGCAGCAATTCCCCCACTCAAGCGTTTAACTCATCCAATCACAGGAGCACCCTCATGTTAGTCTTTATTAAAGGCCTCTCTATTGGCCTAAGAATGGACGTTCCAGATGAGCCATGGCATTCTTTCATTTCACAATGGGTTTTCTTTCTCAAACTTCTTCAGAATCAAACAGGCTTACTAGTAAACATTCACACCTTCATTATAACTACTTTCCAAGCAATCAAGCCCCCACTTCCCATTAACCTCTATGAATGCAGTTTCTTTCTATTTTTTGTCTTTCTGAGACAGGGTCTCCCTGTAGCCCCAGCTGTCCTGGAACTCACTATGTAGACCAGGCTGGCCTCGAACTCACAGAGATCTGCCTGCCTCTGCAGGCGTCACCACGCCCAGCTTCGGATGCAGTTTCTTTTATTCATGTTACCCAATATACAAAATCCATTTTTTTCAGTGAGCAGTTAAAAAAGGGAAACAAAGAATTTGAGTAACTTTCCACCAAGTCACCAAAGAAAATCAGCAATATGTAAAGCTTTTAAAGTACTAAAATTATTTTTCAAAAAGGTATTTACAGACTGTAATTCACACTACATTTGCCATCAATGTAATTATACAAGAGCATGTAAAGCCCTAAGAGGAATTTCATTACAAAATATTGATGATCAAGAAATTACTACTTGCCTTTAAGTAAATACACATTACAGAAAAATAAATAAAGATGACCATTTTCACAAAGATGCAAACATGTTTACATGTAAAGACTGAAGGGCAGACATGTTTTAGCCTCAGAACACTTCCAGCGTGCTCACACACACACCTGTCACAGAGCAAGGTTGTGTGTTAGTATAGAGGCCCGCTACAGAGCTCATCAGGCTGAGTCTTGGCTGCTCCTGCTAACCCATCCTATCAGATTACCTGAGAAATACCGTTCCTGCTTGGATAAAGAAATCCTCAAGAGAACCACCTGGTGCTGGTCAAGCGCACAAGTCAGTTAGCTCCCTCACATGAGCAGTTCCAGATCTCACAGGATGCCTGGAGCCCTGTGTTTTATAGACGTCCAAGCCCACTTCAGTCAAAGTGAATTATTTACTTGAACCTGTATTTCTTTCAAGTCCATTATATAAGTACCTTATTTGTCTGATTCTGTTTCCATGAATCCTCTAAGTCTTCCCTCTTGGCTTTTTGGGGTCTCTGCAATCCCTCACTCACCTTCAGTAAAGCCACCCCAAACACTCAGGACTCCAGCCCTGCCCCAGCACTTCCTTCTAGGTTCACTCGCCCTAAAACACAGATACACTTCCAGCCCAGCTGAAAGGAAACCACATGGCAATGTAAACACAATCTAGTCAGTCTTCACAAGCAAGACTGATCCTGGAGGATTTACACCAAAAGAAGACCAACAAAGCCCTTGAAGAATGTTCCAATAAATACCTATTAAAAAGGCCACCTGCTAAGAGGTTGTTGCCCATACTAGATCTCAAACAACAGTTCCATTAAAAGGCTGCAGGCACAAAAACCGTACACATTAAGCTAGCACATCAAGTGTGAACACTGATTGCTAAGCCCACTGTGGAATATTGCACATGATACCTGGTCTTTTTGCTGTAGGGGAGCGAACCACAGAATGAAATCCATGTCTCTTCAGAAACTAGCCCACCCCAACAGGATGTCCGAGGCACAGACTCTAGTGTAATGCCAGTTCCAGCGGTGGGCCTAGCAGCTCAATCACAGATCCTTGAGATCAGGGGAGACTGGTCTGGCATGTATAGCACAGGTGGGGAGCCCACGCTACTGGAAGGACTTTGGAAGTGGGTGTCAAACGAACTTGGTGTTAGTCCAATCACTGAATCGTTCTGGGGCACTTCACCTTTCAAAAAGTCATCATCTTCATCTTCCATTACCTCCTGTATAAAGAACAGAGTATCAATAATATAAATACTGGTCTGAAAAGCTTTCAAGCGCTAGCACCTGGGGGTATAAAAGTACTTGCTACCAAGCCTGATCCTCAGAACTCACATAGTGGAAGCAGAGAACCAACTCTACACACATCAATTTTCAGAAAACAAAAATCTTTTAAGAATTCCTTTCTTTGGGGCTAGAGAGATGACTCAGCAGTTAAGAGCACTGGCTGCTCTTGCAGAGGACCCAGGTTTGGTTCCAAGCACAAGGTAGCTAACAACTACCCCTTCCAGGGGATCTGATGCCCTCTTCTGGCCTCCACAGTTATTGCATGATACATGTGCACTTTTTATATACATGCAAGCTAAACACTTATACACATAAAATAGATTAAAAAAATTTTTTTCCTACTGGGTGTGGTGGTGCACGCCTGTAGTCCCAGCACTTGGGAGGCAGAGGC